GAGAGCTTTTGCACCAAAATTTGGTGCATTTTGGTGTTTTGGTGCCAGCTTTGGAGATGCTCTAAAGCATAGAGAAAACACTACCAATTTTCTGAAATTTTCGTCAAATTTTTTTATAAAGGGAGACAAAAACTGAAGATTTTGATTTTCCTTTTCATTTTCAGAGATCCAAAGCTTTTCATTTCAAATTTCTCCTAAAATGGAAAACAAACCAAAGAAGAACAAATTCAATATTTTCCCTTTTTTTTTCTTTCATTATCGAATTATCTTCAAAGACAGGAATGCTCATTAAACCAAACTCAAACAAAAAGGAAAATAAAAAAGTTTTAGTCTCTTACACTCCTTGCACGAAGTCAAAATAAATTTTGTCTTAACGAAAGACCAAAGTGCTTAACCAAATATTCTAACAAAATGTAGTCACAGAACGAGAGATGGAAATTTTTTACCTTCAATGCTTGTAGCACTCTTGGACTTCCTATGCCGAGCTCTCTCCATTTTCTTTTCAAAAATTCAAATGCCAAAACAGAAAACAGACAAAAGCAAACTAGAGGAAAAAAAAAAAAACTAATTTTCTTCTCTTTTGAAAAGAGAAAAAGAAACGGCGGTTTCCGAGAAACAAAATTAGAAATTAGATCGGAATCCTCGGCGAAAGCACGACACCATCTCGAAAACCATCACCATTATACCTAGCTTCTCTTCAGCTCATTTTAAACACCTACACCAAAATTTCGAAAAGAAAAAAACGAAAATGAACATCAGGCAGATCTTCGTATACACACACTCATGGACAAGCACATTCTAGAGAGTGTGTGTGTGTGTATGCTTGCGCCTATACATACACACAACTTTTGTGTGTGAAAATGGGGGGAGAGAAAAAGAGAGCATCTATACATACATGTAGTTTTAGAGAGAGAAAGTCAGGCGGGTATTCATGGCCCCGTGAGAGAGAGAGTGTGGAGTACGTTTTTTGAATTGGAGTCCACATTTTAAGAACGTAGAATTTTTAGATAGGGCGGCACGTGAGGGAATACATTAGTGTGCAAGGAAGGGAGTTTGGGGACCCTTTTGTGTAGGGTATTACTATTCCCACCGTTCCACGTATGAATAATATGGATTACAATTAGCCCCGTGGCACATCTCAACTAGTAAAGGATTGGGCTTTTAGTTGATGACAATTCAGAGGTCGCAAATTCGATTCGTGGTGCTCTTGGAAGGCGGGCTCTCTCCTAAAAGGCAGGATTTATCTTGAAAAGCAGGAGTTCTCCTGGAGGCAAGATGCAACATGTGTTAACTCGCTCGACACTTTGACAGATTAGTAGAGGAGCTCTTGGACCCTGGCCAGTTTGGGGTACATTCCGCGGTTTACATGGTCTGCGTCTTGATGAGGCCAAGGCGTAGACTCCAGAATTAGTCGTCGAGGGTGGACACTTGTGTATAAAAAAAAATGGATTACAAATACTTTGACTCGGATTTGCTAATTTTATTTATTAGGGTTCCACGCAGCAAACTATTGTGTTGGGAAATTTTAAACTTTTTAAATTGTAGAAAAAGATTTCTTATTATTTTCAAACCCAGGATTATGATTAATTTTCCGCTCCTTGGATGCTTAATATTGGATCCAAGTTTTGTAGATAATAAGTAATTATGATGATTTTAATTGCAAACATATCCCAAACTTTTATTGCTTTTAATGTCACAATTCATTAATTACAGCTTTGAAATGACATTAATTTATCTTTGCCAAATGTTAATAAACAGAAAAATTATTTCGAATAATGCTATCTAGCAGCATCGGTGCTAGACATCGATTTATGTGGCACTATGTGATAGGATAAACGAAGGAGTTATGCTTCGTGTACATAAGCAAAACCAACAGAAAACCGACATAACACTCGCACGGTAGGGCCTGCGCATTTTTTTTAAATACACGGTGGAGGCGTGGAGCCCACTCACTGTGAGCATTCTGTTGAGTTTCTGTGAAAACCATTTCTATACAAATAGATTTTTCCTA